TTGCTTTCTTTGCTTTCTTTGCTTTCCTTGCTTTCCTTGCTTTCTTTGCTTTCTTTGCTTTCTTTGCTTTCTTTGCTTTCCTTGCTTTCTTTGCTTTCCTTGCTTTCTTTGATTTCTTTGCTTTCTTTTCTTTCTTTGCTTTCCTTGCTTTCCTTGCTTTCCTTGCTTTCTTTGCTTTCTTTGCTTTCTTTGCTTTCTTGGCTTTCCTTGCTTTCTTTGCTTTCTTTGCTTTCTTTGCTTTCTTTGCTTTAAATGCTTTGATTGCTTTCTTTGCTTTCTTTGCTTTGCTTTCTTTGCTTTCTTTGCTTTCTTTGCTTGCTTTGCTTGCTTTGCTTTCTCTGCTTTCCTTGCTTTGCTTGCTTTCCTTGCTTTCTTTGCATTCCTTGCTTTCCTTGCTTTCCTTGCTTTCTTTGCTTTCTTTGCTTTCTTGGCTTTCCTTGCTTTCTTTGCTTTCCTTGCTTTCTTTGATTTCTTTGCTTTCTTTGCTTTCTTTGCTTTCCTTGCTTTCTTTGCTTTCCTTGCTTTCTTGGCTTTCTTTGCTTTCCTTGCTTTCTTTGCTGTCCTTGCTTTCTTTGCTTTCCTTGCTTTCCTTGCTTGCTTTGCTTTCTTTGCTTGCTTTGCTTTCTTTGCTTTCATTGCTTTCTTTGCGTTCCTTGCTTTCTTTGCTTTCTTTGCTTGCTTTCCTTGCTTTCCTTGCTTTGCTTGCTTTCCTTTCTTTGCTTTCTTTCCTTTCCTTGCTTTCTTTGCTTTCTTTGCTTTCTTTGCTTTCTTTGCTTTCTTTGCTTTCCTTGCTTTCTTTGCTTTCTTTGCTTTCCTTGCTTTCTTGCTTTCTTTTGCTTTCTGCTTGCTTTCTTTGCTTTCTTTGCTTTCTTTGCTTTCTTTGCTTTCTTTGCTTTCTTTGCTTTCTTTGCTTTCCTTGCTTTCTTTGCTTTCCTTGCTTTCTTTGCTTTCTTTGCTTTCCTTGCTTTCTTTGCTTTCTTTGCTTTCTTTGCTTTTTTTGCTTTCTTTGCTTTCTTCGCTTTCTTTGCTTTCCTTGCTTTCTTTGCTTTCTTTGCTTTCTTTGCTTTCTTTGCTTTCTTTTCTTTCTTTGCTTTCTTTGCTTTGATTGCTTTCTTTGCTTTCTTTGCTTTCTTTGCTTTCTTTGCTTTCTTTGCTTTCTTTGCTTTCCTTGCTTTCTTTGCTTTCCTTGCTTTCTTTGCTTTCTTTGCTTTCCTTGCTTTCTTTGCTTTCTTTGCTTTCTTTGCTTTTTTTTGCTTTCTTTGCTTTCTTTGCTTTCTTTGCTTTGTATAGCACAAAGCTTCGGGGGTGCTCAATCGCTGCCGTCAGGTCGCGATGCACGAAGCTTCGGTTTGCTCCGCTGACGGAGGCTGCGAGAGCGTGGGGCGGCACATTGAATCATTGCAGATTATGGGTTCAGGAGCAGATGCTGGGAAGACTTCAGTACATTGCAGAGGTGGCAAATTCGATTTGTGCACCTTGACAGACGCCTCTGACCTGTCTGACCTGACAGACCGAGAAGATCCAGTTGACCCAGGATGGAGCCAAAGCCATTGTGCAGGCCAGGAGCTTAGGAGTGGCGAGACATCAGATACGAGCTGGCAAAGTGCAGGTTGGAGGTGGAGATATGAGGAAAGTCATCAACATCTTTCAGACGACATCTATGGGCCACTGCAGCTGCATTGGCTTCTAGATGGAGGGAGGTTTCTCTTGTTTCTTTCCTTCTGGAAAGAGGCGCTCATGCAGCTCAAAGAACTGCAAGGTAGAAAGACGAAACTCTGGAAACTCAATTGTAAGCGCATCAGGCATGCTTTGTGGCATGCTTTGTATCAGGATTGGGGCCAAATGCTTGTTCTTCTATTCTTGATTGGATCTTTGGATCTGGTCCGGCTGGGTCCGGCTGGGTCCGGCTGGGTCAGGCTGGGTCCGGCTGGGTCCGGCTGGGTCCGGCTGGGTCCGGCTGGGTCCGGGCCCTTTTTTCAAGGGCTGTGTGGCCCTTGCCTGGCACCTTTCAGTTTTTCTCGGATTGCTTGGATTCTCGCACGCGATGCGACCAGATACGACCAGTGTCGGGACTGTTTCCTTCGCCTTCTAGTTCATTGCAAAAAACATCCAGAGGAAAGCGAACCGTTCAAATAGTTGAGAATACACGGCTGTCACCTTGTAGCGGCCTTTCATAGCCTTTCTGTTGCCCCTTCCTCAGCTTTGCCCGGAAGCAACACAGCTGGAAGCAGAGGGCTGCAAGCAGAGGCTTCAAAATAGCTTGCAGTAAGGCACTGCGCACAGCGGTTGCGCGATGCAATGAGGTCACCGAGGGAATGTCGACTCCAAGGCAGTGTATGCTTCAACCGGGATACCATCTCCAGAGGACGTGCGGCAAAGCTTGCAATACCAGGTGTCAAGTTGTGCGCTGTGCATTGTTGGCCACTCGTTGCCTCAGATAGCAAGAACTCAATTGAGCAGTTCATTTACAAAGCAATCGCTTGTCAAGACAAAAAAGGCAATTAGCATCCGCTTTCGTTTGGGCAGCGTGACAAGGACCCGCCGCTGGTGTTTTTTGGCTTTTGCCCTGGTCCTCCACGAAAGGGTTTAACTCGCTCTTTCGTTTCAAGGTCGGCTCAAACACGCTCAGCGCCAAGGTTTTGCTCTCCTCAGGTCTTGAGGTGTCCACCCGTGGCCACGTGTGGAGGGGGGGGAAGGGGGGAAGGGGGGAGCCGGATCAATTTGTTTTGGGTAGGCTTTGTGCATGGCCAGGGGTGTCAGGTCTCATTTTAAGCTCTACGGTCTCATAGGCGATTTAGGCGTTGTGCGAATTCTCAAGATGGCGGATCTCATGACTTGCAAGTTCTCAATTTTTTGCTTCCCGCATCACGCTGGTTGGCAACACAGCCGGACGGCGAGCCTGAGACGAGGTAAGACGGAGCGCTTGGGCCTATCGCTTGCAGGGAAAGAAGTAGGAAGACAGTACCTATCACAGAGCACGAGAGCGATGGGCCCGAAGGCGCATCGCGGACTGAATTAAGCGGCCACGGAAAGGATCCCATCGTGTGGGAGGATGGAAGATGCAATGGGCAAGTGGGTGGACATAGTGGTGGCATTGGAAGTGAAAGAGAAAATGGTGCCGTTGGCAAGCGAAACCTTGGTTCATACCGTGGGTTCGTATTCAAGACGCTTTGTGTTCTGAAGAATGTTGAGCAAACGTTCCAAAGCTCAATGCTTTCATTTGAGCCAAGCCAAACCCTGGTCACATTTCCAAACAGAAATAGGAGCGCGTACCCTTGCTATTTCTGATTTGGTTTTTGAGGCAAGTGTTGCGCAGAGCAGGAAATTCAGCACTTCCTGCGGGCCCTTCTCAATGGATCGGTTCTAAACTCAGATTTCCTCTCCCCTGGACTGGAATAAAAGTCGCCCTTGCAGGTGTCCTTCGCTGCCAGCCTCACATCATTGAAGCACATGTTTGCGCCTCTGTCGTTTTCTCCTGCCACCGGCACGATCCACGACATGTTGCGTTTCAGGCTCAATGCCAAGGGATATGCTTTGGATGATTTCCTGCTGGGCAGCCAAGATGGTCACGCGAGCTCGCCTTGGCTTTGGCAACTGCTAGTGATGACCCGGAGAAAGTTCAAGGCAGCTCATGCACAAGCAGCTCCTTCTCGAAGACTTGCCAGCGCAGGCCCTAGGTCCATTGGTGTTGTTCTCGCTAAGCCAACGCAACTGCCCAAGGTGTCACAGCGACTTCAGCTGACTGTGGCACTTGCTGACATCGACTGGCGGCTGAAGCAGGCTCGGACGGGCACGGATCTCGGCTTTCCGCTTGCTCTTTGGCGCAGGGCTGCGGAGATGCTATCCAACTGGGCGCCATCATCGGCATTTTCCACGAGGCAACGCGCGCAGAAGCGCGAGCTTTGACTGAGATTCCCACAGGCCAGGGCGATGGGGGGAGCTTAGGGGCCTGCATCTCAGTTCTGTGCTTGGGCCTTTGCTACGCGCTTGGAAAACGTCCCGGGCCCAGTTGCGCTGTCTCAGGATTTGGGGTTCGGGCTCGCAGTCATCGCCTTGAGATGCGGTCTGCTCTCTTGGCAACTGCCAACCTGTTTAGGTTTCCAATCTGTGGAGATTGGCGTGGTGAAAAGTCGAATCATTTGCTGTGAGATGTGATTGTGCAACATGGGACGTCCGTTTCGTTGGCGACGCTGTGCCACCTCAAATCAGCCCGGATGTTGGCTATGATTGGCTCTTTGGAGTGTGAAGGCCCTGGATTTCAATGTTTTCCTTCCGCAAAGGTGCCATGGCAGTGAGTCACAAGTTCATAGAACGCATAGCTTGGCAGCCCGCGATTGCCCCAAGTGGCAGTGCGGCGTTGATTCCTGCATCGCTCTGCATGGAGACGGTCGCTATTTACAAGCAGCCCTTTTTGGCTCAACTTGGTTCCAAGTGCGAGTTTGGCCCTTGTCTTTCTATTATGTGCATGGACTTGTAGTATCCCAACCTTTCCAACCCTTCAAAATTAACAAATAATGATAAACATAGACATATCAATATGAACATAGTAAACGTACAACCAGAATAAAGAAGACATTAACATGTTAATGTGTTTGTAGTGTGAGAACGCTCAGAATGCAGCACCACCTTGAGCCATTTGGCGCAAACCAGTAGGGCAGCCTGCCCCTGACCCGGACCTGCCCGTCTGCACGTGCATGGAGTGAGACACCCGGCCGGCCCGCCAATACCGGACGGCCCGCCGTTGCGGCACAGACGGCCGAGCCGGCCCGCAGTGTGTGGAAACAGGGGCGCCTTGCTGCTCTACCGGTTTGTCAAACTGGTAGCGGAGCGGGTGAGATCCCGCCTCCACTGGCCCCGAGAAGAACCTGAGCTACCGAGATGATGAGATCGCGGCAGATCGGGACGGCATCCCGCACTTCTCAAGCGTCATGCCCAAGCTGATGAAGGAATACAAGACCCGGGTGATGTTCGCTTTCGAGAACCTGGAGGGCGAGGGCAAGGACGAAGATGAGGAGAAGAGAGATCTTCATAAGAGGCGCCGAAGGTTCGCGAAGAAGCTGATCGACGCCTTGCACGGCGAAGCCTGGCAAGCGTGCCAGCCCTTGAGGAGCCGGAGCAGCTGCGGGAGCCGGACGGCTACAAGCTGATCTTTGTCGCGCTCGCCGGCGTCAAGAAGGAGGTGATCATCCGCAAGACCGAAGCGTTCGACAAGTGCCTTGAGAGGAGCTCCCGCAGAAGGGGAACGCCGATCGACCGCTACCTGCGGCAGAAGGCTCAAGACTGGCAAGACCTCGTGGACCTGGACGAGAACACCAAGATGTCCGAGGACATGCTGGCGTACTTCGCGCTGAAGATTGCAATCTGAGCCGCGAGGACCGCGGAAACATCTTGCAGGCCAACCGCTCGAACTACACCAAGGTCGGCATCGAGCAAGCCCTGAGGGTGAGCTTCCACGACCTCCACGAGAAGGAGAAGGGCGGCGGAGATGAGCAAGGGCATCTCAAAGCCCGCGGCTACGGGAAAGGATGCGGCAAGCGGTGCTACGCACACACGGTTGGGCGCGAGGATGAGTACGAGCCAGACGAGGAGGCACAAGAAGAAGAATTTGAAGAAGAAGGCCCTGGTAGTGATGTTGGATGAGGGCCCTGGTAGTGATGTTGGAGCATCCGATGACGACGAGATCTACGAGGCCTTCGCCACGATGGACAAGATGAGGCGCGGCTACAAGGAGCAGAGGAAAAAGCTGAAGGATCTACAGGGGATTCTTCAAGGGCGAGCTCACGCTGGAAGAGCGCAAGCAGGCCATCAAGAAGGAGAAGGAGAGAACTCGCTGCACGGCTTGTCAACGGATCGGACACTGGTCCGGCGACCCCGAGTGCCCCAAGACCGGCAAGGACGGAGCCAAGAAGTATGGCAAGGCGAAGGGCGCGGGGAAGCAGAAAGGAAAAGGTTCACGGGCCTACGCCGTCCGCGGACTGGTTGGTCTTGGAAGAAAGCGACGATGACGAGTGCACGGACAAGCGGAGAAAGAAGAGACCGCCTCGTGGAACATGTCCCGACCTGGACACCATGGAGAGGGAAGAGCTGAAGAGGTACTGCCGTATCTGGGGCTTCAGCGATCGCGGCGTGGACCCGGAGAAGATTCGCAAGCGCATCAGCATGTTCCACCATGTCGGAGTTCAACGGATTGGCTTCGACCACCGCTATGTCCGCTTGGCCGAGAGAGGCAAAGACAGCAAGTCCGTGAAGGCTGAGCGTGGAGCCGGACATGGCAGGGAAGAAGTGTCGGGCCGAGCCTTGCGTCGCAAGGGCGTGATGCGTTGACATCCACGGGGAGCGCGTTGAGGACGAGCGGAACTGGATCTTCGATGGACTTGCCGTACCACGAGAGCCAGGAGACTGAGGAGCACAGCGGTACGTTTCGGAAATCGGGAGGAGGACAGTCTGTCTTTCCGGTTATCAGGATGGCCACAAGCCCACAACTCGGGTGGACATGCAGTCAACCCATTGGACGGCTACCATCTGCTATCGCAGAAGGGCAGGAACCTCGTATTCACCACCATCCACGTTCACAAGCCTTACCTAACGCTCATCGCCTTCGACTGTAGAATGTGGTTGTTGCTGATGAACCTGAGCCCGGACACCAGTTTTGGAGGCGAACTCTCAAGATGGTGCAAAGAAACCCATCAGCTAAGGCGCTACTCCTTGCTGGAGCGCTAAGCTGGGTCTTCGAGGGCATCCTCATGAGGCTCCTGGGGCAAGTTCACCTATGGCGACCAGTGCGCCTACGGCAAAGATCGGGAAGCGAACAGGGTGGCTGTCGAACAACGAGCTGGTCCTGGACGCGGTGGCCCGGCAGTGTCATTGCCAAGCCCCGCACGACGAGGTGCTTGGTTGGTGTGTCCAAGGAAGCGGCAGTCTACCCGACGGAGTTATGCTTGGCAATCTGTGGCGCCATCAAGAGGAGCATGGTTCTTTATAGCGTTCCAGCAAGGCAAGCTTCGGGAACGGGTACGCTGGCGGGAGAAGGTTGAAGATGGACCGCAGCAGCCAGAGATAGGAGCAGATCCTCAAACAGTACCATTACCGGCAGCGTCACGACCAAAAGCAAAGGGGAGCAACATCCTGAAAAGGAGGCCCAGAATTCGCCAGCTACAAGGAGGCGCCTGGACCGGCATCAAATCCGCGGAGACGGTGATGAGGATGAAGGAGCTTCTGTCCCTTTCTGCTGTACTCTACGCCAGGCTGGCCAGCAGGATGAAGAAGCCGCAGCCGCACGGAGGCCCTGTTGATGTACCCCTCCGGAAGACGATCGTTCTTGGGAGGAGGTGCGGCGAGTCAGCAGATTAAGTTCCTGCCGTCACAAGCCAAGCAGTTAGTGGCGACGGTCTTTGGACGCAACCTGCTCCCGGGGGAGGTAGAACCTCACGAACAACCAGCAGGAGGAGACGCTGAGGCACGAAGAGCAGCGCTTTTGGCAGGCAATACCCGGGAGCTCAAGAACGCTTTGAGGCGTGTCCACATCAACCTGGGACACTGATATGCTGAAAGCACTGAGAATTTTGCGGGCAGAGGTGGCGATCAAAGCATGCTCTTCAGACGCGCAGAGTGTCCCCGTATTCAGGAGCCCAAGTTGCCAAGGCGTCGAGTGCTGGTAGGATGTGATGTTTTCCAGCGCAAGGACTCAGACAATCAGGAGTGGAGCTGGCTGAACATCCTTGATTTAGCGACAACCTTCCAGGTGTGTTTGCTCTGTCCGGAACCCCGAGATTATGACCGCTTTCTGCACTCACTCAACTGGGCAGGTTTCCCCAAGAGAGGAGACGTAGCTGACAGAGGCCGCTATAGTGGCGGAGTTCAGGGACATGCTGGAGGCAGAAGGCTGCCAGGCTGCATTTGCCAGCCCTTGCCACATCGGTGCCGTAAAGAGACATGGCGGCGCCTGAGAAGGCCAGTTTGGTTCAGGCAGACATCGGGCCAGGAAGAATAGCAGCGACAGCGGTGAACCGCTCGAAGAATGCGCTGGCAAGCAAGCTAGGTTTCAGAGCAGTGCGTACTGGGGCGAGCAGTGAGGCTCCCCGCCGATTTGCTGGACGATGGGGAGGCGGCGAGAATTGGTGCTCAGGCCGCAGCTCTGACACCAGCAACACGGTTCGAAGTGGCGAGAGAGAGGCATGCGTGAAGGCGGCAAACTCGCAGAAGTTTTTGTGTTCTTCTATGACCAACGAAAGAGCAGGCCCGGGACACTGGCGGGGCATTGTTCTCGGGCAGCGGCTTCCTGGCAAAGGCCGATGATGAGGAGGTCAAGTCCTGGATGATCACAGCCCGGGAGACAGAATTGATCGATGCGACACCTGCACCTGGAGGAGCTACCTACATCGACGTCAGGCGCAAGCCGATTCCGCCTGCAGAAGGTTTTCCCCGAGGAGAACGAGGAGAGAGAAGCGAGAGGAGATGCAGCAGCAGCCGCAACAGCAGCCACAGGATGAGGAGGATGATGAGCCGGATACGGAGATTCAGATGCCCGGCGGAGAGAAAATCTCACCTGAGGAGCTGTTGAAGAAGTTAGAAGAAGAGGATATAACCGGAGCAATCCCTGGTGAGGAGAGAGCCGCAAGTGTTCCTTACTCACCAGCCTTCCCACTCAACCTCATCGGATCCTCCGGGTCGGTGAACTTGCCCTTGACCTCCTCGCGCCGCCTCCAGAGTAATCCTCCTCCGCCATGGAACAGGAACATTGCCTCGTCGATGCCCAGTTCTTCAAACTCTTCCTTCTTCTCCTGGCACTTAGCCTTGGCCATCTCTGTAGGATGGGCTCTCCGTTAGCGGCTCGCACGGCCAGATTGGCGTGTCCATCGCCTCTCCTTGCAGGTGACGTGGTCCTCCGCCTATTGTTTTCTCGCTCGATGGCCTCCTCCGCGGCATCTCTCGTCTCAACAGGCGGTGGTTGATCGTGAGGTATGGCTTGGTGGTAGTCGTGCGCCTCCGGGTCGAACTCCATTGGAAGAAGTTGCCGTCTCGGACCATCTTCTTCCTGTCTGACCTCGCTGACTGCTCCTCAAACCAACTCGGCAACTGAGATAAGCCTGCGACGTCTTGAGCGAGAAGGGGTCCAACGAAGTGCGTAGGTTCAAGCGAGGCCTGATCATCCCGACCAGGTGGGTGAGCCGAGACGCACCGACGGCGTCACAGAATTATTTCTGCGGAAAACCACGAGAGCGGGAAATATACTTGGAGCAGCCCAGAGGTGGCATCCGAGGCCTACGCCCCGGACAGTTGCTTAGAGCGCGGAAGGCCTGCGTCCTTGCGCAGGTAGTACCTAAACCGACTTGGCGTCCGTGACGTAGACGTGTTCCCGAGACTCAATGGTCTCAGTCCAATTCCTCAGGTCGAGCTTGCCGTGCAACACCTCCTCCAGCAGCACGATGGCCCAGTCTCCTGCTTCCACTGCTTCTGATGACCCGCCTCCGCCGCCAGCGTGCTCCGGCAAACCCTCTTGGTCTGACTGCTGTGAAAGCCGATGATGTTGGCTCTCACCGTTTCACCTTGAAGCTTAAACCTTTGTTGGCTACCATCAGGAAGTAGCCGCCCACGGACTTGAACCGTTCGATGCCAACTTTGACTTCATCCGACAAGAGGATGGCCATCGACCTGCGAGAAACCATTCGCCGACCACGAGCTCAAGTGAGGTGGATCGACGGGCAGCAGAACCTGGCGGACATCCTCACGAAGGAGAAGGCGGACAGAACAGTCGTGCTGGACTACTTGAAGGACGGCATGATCTCGCTGGCGCAGACAGCAGAAAACTAGCAGGTCAAGGAGAAGCAGCGGCAGTCGAGAGCCGCGCGGAAAGCAGCTCAAGGCGAAAAGGAAAACAAGGAGCGCGAGAACACTCAGAATGCAGCACCACCTTGAGCCATTTGGCGCAAACCAGTAGGGCAGCCTGCCCCTGTCCCGGACCTGCCGGTCCGCACGTGCATGGAGTGAGAATCCCGGCCGGCCCGCCAATACTGGACGGCCCGCCGTGGTGCGGCACAGACGGCCGAGCCGGCCCGCAGTGTGTGGAAACAGGGGCGCCTTGCTGCTCTACCGGTTTGATCACGACAATCAAAGTGGGTTCATAATACTTATATGTGATTAGCCATGTCTTTGAATGTCATTCGGAGATGTTGCGATAGCAACTATCCGTTGGCATTTGGCTCAAGTGTACCGGATCTGTCGCGACCTCGGATGAGCGTCCACGTCGATCACCTACGTGTCGGAGGAGAAAGAGACTTCGGCCCGGGGCAGGTTGGTGGCGGGGAGTGCCCGCGCAGTTCATCGTCGACTCCAGGTTGCGGGTATCTTTTTCCCTTTTGGTTTGGATTGTGGTTGTTTACTCACCTTTCGCCTGGGCACAGGTCCGTGCCTGAATCAAAGCTCACATTCGTCCGCAAGCGGCAGGACGGTGAAAACAATGATGATACTCGTGATGATAATCATGAGGATGACAATGATGACGAGCATGATGATGAATATGGTGACTAAAATGATGATCATGAAAACAGTTTCAACAAATCACGCATGGTGCTAACAATTATGATGATGATGATGATGTGCGGTGTAGGATAAAGAAGATGATGGTCATACAATGTTAGGTAAAGATGACGCTGGCCATACGATGATGGTGACGTGGACGATGGCAAGATCCCAGTATAAGGATGATGATGTTACATTCCTGATGATGATGATGATGATGATGAAGACGATGGCAATGATGATGATTGCCCTAATCCGCGCCATTATGATTATCATCATAGCGCCCTCTGCATCCCGCGCGATGTCCACTGTCGTCATCATCCGTGTCATGATGGCCATCATCATAACACCCTCTGCGTCGCGATGTCTAGCCTTGGTGTTGAAACGCACGGGGCTGCAACCATAGGAAACGCAAAGAAGAAAGAGATGATCATGACTCAGCAGGAGTCATCATGACCACCGCCCTGCCCGGGGTCGGCGGATTTGCCCGGGCTGACTGAAATCAAACAGCGGACTCGGTCAAACAGCGGACTCGATGGCGTTGATTGCTGCATGTTGTGGAGCATTTGGCTGGTGCAACAAAGCAGCCAGGCTAGTTTTTTTTGGTAAGCAACTGGCTAACGTCAGGATCTCAAGGTGGTTGCGACTCTGGTTCCGCAAATCACGATCAGCAAGTTCTGGCATTCCAGTCCCTGTGCCTGGAGGAGTCCCTGGGTTTCGAATCCCGATTTATTATGTGTAGAAGGCGCTTGGACCCAATGTTTACACAAATTTGTGCCTGCTTAGGCAGTTCTGTTAAATGACACTTTGTTTAGTTACTGCAGTGACAGAACAAATGTGCGCTCAGGGGCTCCTATTGTGGGTAGGCAGGAGCTCATGATGGAGCTGCTCGATGTTTGATTTCTTGCAGATGCTGGAAGCGACAGGACTCACAGCGATGCCATTGAGTTTCTTGAAATTAGACAGCTCAACACGTAGCGACGCATGACAGTGTTGAATGGCAAACACACTGGGGGACAGATCCGCGCGGCTTCCCAGGTTTGGCAGGCACTTGTGATTGGAGTGAGTGGAATTGTACGCTGGTGCCATCGTGTGTATTCCCTGCATTCTTGTGAATGACGTTTGCTCCGGGCAGGGTTGGTCTCATGGCAGCGGTTTCAAGCTGGTGCTGTTCCTGGCGCATGATGTGTTAAAGGCAATACGGCGAGCCAGCTTGATACGGAAATATTGATATCGGCTGAAGCTATTTTGGCTGCCTAGTATTCGTTCAATTTCTCGTGGCGAAAGCCATGCTCGTGCGAGTGCTGGCAATCCTTGCCCTGGCGGCAGGCACTTGCAAAGACAAGGCCTGCAATCAGGGGCCTCAGCTGCTCCAGAGAAGGTCTTTGGTGGAGAAGCTTGAGAGCAGCGAGAACAGCGAGAGCTACGAGAGCAGCGACACCGAGGAGGAGTTCTTCGAATGCGAGATCAGCGTGGTGGAGATGGACCTCGACAACTCGGAGCGCCAGGAGGTTTTCTGCCACACGCAGAACGAGGTCCTGGAATTGGAGCTCGGCGGCGAGAAGTCCAAGAAAAACCCCGAGCTGACCACGGGTGAGAAGGCGAAGATTAAGGGCTTTCGGGGGGAGCGCAAGGTCCGTGTCAGCTCCATGGAGGTGAAGGGCAAGGGCAAAAGCGGCAGAAGCCTTTTGCAGAGCAACGTGGGCGTACGCAGCGCCATGGTGCTCATGGTCCGGTGGCTGGATGAAGGTGGGAACTTGATCCCATCGTCAATGGACGACGTATCAGAGCGCCAGACAATGGCGGAGATAGTGAACAACACTGTTTTCGGCGTTCATGACAGGAATGTCCAACAAACGTTGGCGGGCGCCTGGAAGGAATGCTCCTACAATCAGCTGGAGCTGGACTTTGATGTGGACAAGCAGGTCAACGATTTGGGCCCTGGGCAGGGTGCCGACATCTTCTACGTCGACCTTCCCCGGGTCTGCGATACGACAAAGGACCCCATGTGCCCGCACGACTACAACACCACGAATTCCTGCGGCGGCAAGGAATATTATGGGTGGTCAGGGTACTCCTGGCAACTTCTTGCGCAAAGATATCCAAACTTTGACAACAGCCTTTGGCAGCACAAGATCGTAATCTTTCCGAAGGATGTTGTGAAGTGCAGCTTTGCTGGCATGGGCAATGTTGGGTGCAGCGCAAGTTATTGCTTTTCCTGGATCCCCACGAGTTGGGCGCACAAGGTCGCGGATTACATGCACGAGATGGGCCACAACCTGGGCATGGGCCATGCCGGCGAGATTGATGGCAGCCCGTTTTCGGACATGTCTGATGCCATGGCGGCCTGCTGCCCCACGCGGTGCTACAACGCCCCACACAATATGCTGTTGGGCTGGATGATGCCAATGCTGGAGCTGCGCGATGCCAACTTTGTGGAGCCTGTCTCCGTGACGTTGAAGTCTATGTCGGCGAGCAAGGACGGGGTTATCAAAATCCATACGGACTGGAGCGACTCCCCACAGAATTGGTGGATCGCGATGAAGAGCTCGGACTCCTATGACCAGTTCCTCACACACAGCCGCAGGGACAACGTGCAGATCAAGAGCTGGAACGGCGAGAAATCGACAACACACTATGCCACCATAGAATCCGGCGAAAACTGGACCTGCTCTAACGGGGATTGGAATGTGAAGCTGGAGCAGGTGATGATCATTGACGGCGTAGCGTCGGCGGTACTGACCCTCACTCGCGCCAACTACCCTACGACGACCACCGCCGCAACCACGACCACCGCCACCACGACCACCACCACGACCACCACCACGACCACCACCACGACGACCACCACGACCACCACAACCACCACGACGACCGCAACCACCACGACGACCACAACCACCACGACGACCACCACGACCACCACGACCACCACGACAACCACGACCACCACAACCACCACAACCACCACAACCACCACGACGACCACGACAACCACCACGACGACCACAACCACGACCACAACCGCCACGACCACCACGGTGGACCTGTGTGCGGGGGTGACTTGTTCTCCCATGGACGAGTGCCACATCGCCGGGGTTTGCAACCCTGCCACGGGCACCTGCTCCAACCCGCTTGCACCTGACGGAGCAAGCTGCACGTCCGGCGGCGTTTGCGATGTGTCCAGTTGTGCAGCCGGCCAGTGTGAGGTGACTTCCCAGCGCGACGGGTGCTGCGGGAACTCCAAATGCGAGGCTGGCGAGGACTGCGTGTCCTGTGCCGCTGATTGTGCATCGGCCAGCACTGGCGGCGGTGCCGAGTGCGGCAACGGAATTTGTGAGGCCGGGGATGGGGAGGACTGCTTCAGCTGCCCCGCGGATTGCGCGCGAAAGCTGAGTGGCCGTCGCAGCCGACGCTATTGCTGCGGGGCTCGCTGGACAGGTTGCTCTGACCAGTGCAACAGGGACGGCTTCACATGCAGGACGACCAAAGCGCCTGTGGTGTCCAGCTGCTGCGGGGATGGCACGTGTACCGCAAGCCTGGAGACGGCGTTTTCGTGTAGCATCGACTGCACGTAGAGCAAACAGTACTCAGAAGTCAAATTTGACCTCTGTTCAGAATCCGTGCAAGCGTCGCACTTTGGGCGCACAGAGCCCTGAGTGTGAGAATTTGAAATGCCTTTGCGGGCAATAGAAACTGCAAGCCACACAGATATGACATGGCTGTAGATTTGAAAGGCTGTGTGTCGAAAAGGCCAGGCATCATAGTATATTGAGTGTCAGAATCATGCGTCAAAGCAAGAAGCAATGAATCAGGGCGATGCAGGGAGCATTTGTCCAACTAGTCCTGGCGCAAGTTTCCGATCTGACTGCCACTCAACATTCCAAGAGTTGGGGGGGATAGCGTTCCCGACATGAGCATCGGTTCATATTCCGGCACAGGCTGCCATTTGGAATTGGGGCACCAACAAATATAATTCGTAGGCCATATACAGAATCACCGAAGCCAACCTTTGACCCACCTAAGCCGTCCTTAAACCAACCCTAAACCAACCTGAAATAGACCTTAAGCCCACCCACACCAACTCTACACCACACCCGAAGCTGAATGTCATGCGTTGATGGGCGCTCGTCAGCCTTGCCCTGCTCTGACTTGATGATTCAACGAGATGCGTGCTCACCGAGCCCAGCCCGTTGCCTGCGCTATGTTGATGTTCCTTTTGACTTTGGACAGGGGGAAAAGATGAGGATGATAGCAAGTCGGGAAGATCATCATTGCCATTGGGAATGGCAACCATGTCACTGTCAGGCAAAGCAGATTCCTCACAAGTATCCTTAGGGAGAGCAGGCCTCAGGCTTGTGAACCCTCACTTTCTCTTGCCACGCTTACCACACTGACCAGCGCCCGCCATTTTCTTGGCCTTGTTCGCCTCGCGCTTCTTCTTGGACTCCGCTCAGAAACACATCTGAGACAAATGACATTACTATTCTTATTATAGCTGTTACTTACCATTGAATGTTACGGGTCGCGCAACATTGAGGTCAATTGCTTCAAAAATCACAGCGGTCCTCAACTTGCTTCAACTTGTCCTGATGGCACAGGCATCATTGCTTTTTGTTGCTGTCCAAAGCAGTTTCCTGCTTTTGTTTAAGTCCCTGAGGCCAGTGCGCTCAGTGAGGAGTCGGAGTTGGCCAATGTTTGCCAGCGTTCATGATGCTGCTGAAATCCCGAGGAAGGCGATGTGTCTTTTATCTTATCATTGTCTCCTGAAATCGCGTAGTGTTGACATGCCCCCCGGTACCATCATGTACCATCCCACATCTCTTGCAGAGTCTCCGAGTTGCTCCGTGAGCTTTTTTGCCGGACTGCTCAATGTACCAGCCCAGCAAGCCCATACCACTCTGCCGTGTCGTTTGTTCAGCGTCTCATTCCAGCAAGGGCCTGCCACACAGCTGGAAGATCCTCTGCACATTGGCAAGGCGTTCCCGTGTGCGGTCAAACATGGACATGACATGACTGTGGAGAGATGAAAGAAGCGCAACAAAAACACTCAACAACAATCCGAGCTTAGACCGTTTAAAAGCTTAGCAAGATGGAGGCTTCAAAAAATGCTTGAAAAACAATTTGCAGCGGCAAAAACAAAGACTTTGCAGCGGCAGAAGGCACCAGCTTCGGATTGCGAGCTGCAGCCTGTAAATCTCAAGTCCAGATCACGCGGGGTTTGTCAAAGGACATTCTGTTGGCAGAGCCCTCGTGCGTCCACATTTGCACATGCTTGTGGGCGCTTGCCCAGAAAACGGGCGGATGCGTGATCTGCGAAGCTTGCCTTGGAGAAGTGGCAGCAGGGTTTTTGAAGTCTTTGATTTGTTCTTGATTTTGACTTGTGGTTGAAGAGAAAAGTGCGCCGAGGTTGACTGACAGATTTTCAGGTGGCCCTGTTGCTGATGGGTCCTGGGTGCAGTTTCGGCTGCAAGGGCAAGTTGGTTTGCAACTTGCAATGAGCAAGGCTTTGCATCAAGGGCTCCTTCACAAGCATAGCAAGACACAGGCCGCAAAGCACCCTGACAAATATTCAGTGATTCCGGGCCTGGTTTTCTCTATCGCTGATGGCTTTGTGCCCTGGAGACACGACAGAATGGGAGAGACTGGCTTGGTTGCGCCAGCCTTCTGTTTGCTACTGGGCGCGCTGCTGCCAGGACGATATCCAAAGAAAGTTTGGGAATCTGCCGCCGCTGGAGCCATTTGCTTGATTGGCTTTGGAAAGGCCGAGTGTCAAGTTGCGCTGCTCCAAGGAAAGAGGTGCCGCAGCGAGACCTAGACCAAGCTACCGCAAGGGCCCAGGGCACTTGGGCACTTCCCATGCTGGAGCGGAGATTAGGTTGAAGCAGTTGAGAAGTACGACCCGCTGGCGCGGAGAAGCTTAGAAGAGCTGCATGCCTCAGCCTCAGCTTTTCACTTTTCAAGGCTGCAACTAGCAGCAACTAGCATACTGTTCCAACTTGCCATGAGAAAGCCGGGGCTGTCACCATGTGAGTTCGGGGAAGGAATTGCAAATCACTGGTAGAACCCAAAGCTTTCGTCCCCTGACAGGAGCTCGAGGACGAGCTTGACGACGACCTTTTGGCAAGATATCGCCGGCGGCGATTAGCTTCGGACCTACGGGGGCAGACACTGCCAGGGTGAGCTCATGCCGTATCGACAAGATTCACCTTTGCATCGATGCTATTTCTTGCTCAAGAGGAATGGACAAAGGCAAAATTGATCACGTTTGAACTCAATATCCAGCACAGCCACCCAATTCAAGACCGCAAGCTCAGCGAGCTTGAGACAGCCCGGAACCGTTTGCCCGGATGCCAGAGGCCAGGGAAACGATTTGCTTGGCAAAACTCGCATTGACGTCCTGCCAGGTGTCACAAGGCAAGGCTCCGTACGCAGAGCTGCGCAGTGCTGTGTGGGCGAGGCCTAGAGCGGATCTCACTGCCTTGCGGGAGTATATGTGGTGTGCCGACGCTTGCTGCAAAAGGAATCTATTGTTTTGCCCCGTTTTGTGTGTTCCTGCAAACCAAGCTGGACCAAGCTGAGGATTCGATTGCATGCCAGGGCCCCAGGGTCGCAAGATATTGTTTTTTTTGACTTGCAAGTGGAGGCTTTCCTGCCACTCACAGCAAGCTTGGCCGCCTTGGGAACTTGTCTTGCCGGTCATCCTTGGCTCTCTGCGCGGGCCCCAGCTCAGCACAGATGGACTTGGCACTTGCGTCGGAATGAGGTGCTGCTTGCGTTTCTCGCTGCCGGTCCTTTGCTGACCCTTGACAAAACTGAGCATGTTGCCACGACTGCCACGACTGCCACGACTGCCACGACTGCCACGACTGCCACGACTGCCACTGCGGCTGTGTTTGTGAAGCGGGCCAAGGCTGATCACGGTTTTGGCGCATGAGCTGGGCCACGTGATTGCCGCCAGGCCTCGTGCCTCGCAACTCGCGACTCGCGACTCGCAAACTCGCGCGCGCCTCGTTGTGACCCCATTTGTCGCTGAGGAGATGTGGCTGCTCCGCGGATCACATCCTGCTTTGGCCTTTGGGTGGCCTGGCCTTCATAGGAGGTTCAGCGCAGCCGAAGGAGAAACTTTGCTTTGGGGCAGTGACGGCTATGGCAGGAGGAATCGTCCCAAAGGTCCTTGTGTTGAGATAATATACGAAGGGGAAGCTTTGCGATGCGAGGTCGCGAAAGTGTTTTCTCGCCGAAGTTTTGTGCACGGGTGGTTTGAAAGGAATGCGTAACACACAGGCTAAAGAAAGCAAAGCACGTTGGATTGTTCAATCTTTCGGGTCCTGAAGTCCGCAAAAGTTTCACGATTGTCGATGGACCTCCGCAGAGCCCATGGGCCCTGGGTGGGAGCAGGTGCCCTTCAGTGCGCACAACAGAAACTTGATGCAAACGACCTGGTGGTGCAAAGTTGCAACTGTCGAGCTGGGCTGCGGAAGTTTTCTGCGTCTGTACTTGTGCGTCCTTCTGCGTATTTGTTCCGCGAGGATTGCGTTTCCAAGCGCAGGAGCAGATGCTGATATCGGCATCGGGCCCAGCGACGCACCTGCCAATGATGGGCAGCTCGGCTACAACTTCGGACCTTGCTTGCGGAATTCGCCCTTTCACACTGCGAGGACTTTGGGCATTGATCCTCCTTTTGCTCCACGGCAGCGTCACGCTGTCGACCAAGGGGCTGTGGATAGAGGACAACTTCGGCAGTCTGCTGCTCCTGGGCTGCAGCGCGCTACAAGTTGACGTGCTGACACAGCTGGCCGGCGCAAGGTGCATCGCCATGCTGAGCGGCTTGGCATTTCGACATATTCCTGCTTTGCGAGCAGAGCCGGCGAATTTTCGAAAGCGCAAAAGCTCTTGTTGTCTTCGCGTTGTCTTGTATCAGAGGTCCGCTGACAACGAAGATGGCTGGGCTTGCGACAGAAAGGGCAAGCGAACAAGAAGAAATGGGGAAAGACAATGGGAAAAGAAGCACGGCAAGAGACAGATAATAAAAAAGAGACATGGCAAGAGGAAGAGAGGAGAGAAAGAGAAAGAGAAGGAGAAAGGAAGGCAGGAAGGAAGGAAAGAAAGCGCAAGAAAAGAAGGAAGACAGAAAGAAAGAAAGATGGACAGAAACCCAAAATGAAAACACATCACACTGCCCAAGAATCAATGTTACAATGCACGGCGGCCTGAAACGGCAGTTCTCTCTCTCTCTCTCTGTCTCTTTCCTCTCTCTCTCTCTCTCTCTCTATTTGTTCATAGCTAATGACCTACTATGTCTATCCAGCCTGTTCATTTGTCTGACTAACTATCCTTCTCTCCTACTCTCAATCTATCTATTTGAATATCTATCTGACTATCTATTTAGCCGTCTTCTAGCTATCTATCTATCTAATTATCTAGTATGTTTATCTCTCTCTCTCTCTCTGTCTATCTTTATCTATCTCGCGATGGCTGGATGGGGGACGCGAGGCGGATAGACGGGAGTGAGTGGGTTGGGTGGGTGGATGGCTGGATGGGAGATGGATGGATGGACATCGACGGGTGGATGGAGAGGATAGTGGATGGGGAGGGAGGGACCCGCCGACGGGTGTCTAACTTCGCTTTTGGATCCTATAGAGAACAGACCTTCCCAGGCGCGTCACCCTTGCAGACAAGGGGTCGGCGGATATCTATCGATCTATCTATACGTCGTCTCTCCCTTATTTGTTTTTCTCTCTCTCTCTCTCTCCTTCTTGTTTTCCTGCCATTTCTTGTTCTATCTATCTATCGATCTATCTGTCTATCTATCTATCCATCTATCTATCTATCTATCTATCTGTCTATCTATGGTTTGTCCATTCATCTGATTATCTTGCGAAAAGCACGGCGTCTGCTACAAAATCTGTGTTTGAGCTTGCGAAAGTACTGCGCCTGCCACAAAAACCTTGCGAAAGTGCTGCGCCTGTCACGAAAGATGTGCTTGACCTTGCAAACGTGCCATTCAAAATTATTCGAGCGTTCCAAAGCACCGAAACCCGGACTTTTTGAGTTGTCCAATCCCCAGTTGCACGCGCGTGCCAGGGAGCTAGCTTTCAATTAGTTGCCGTTAAGCCGGAAGTTCCTTCTAAACTTCCTTTGACCACTTTCTTTTGTGACAAAGTTCAGTTCCGGTGCGCGGTCGGGAATGCCAAGATACCAACTTGGTGATGATGTTGTTCAACCTGCCCACACCTTACGCGCCCCATGACATGACGTGCGGAATCCACCGGGCCTCAAACCCAACCTCACTGAGGCTGGTCCCGTGCTTCCCTTTGGATTGCTCCCGGATCTTGGCAAGCCTGCTTCTTCTCAGGGGCTGTGACCCGCCAACAGCCGCAAAGGCGTCCTGCGATTGCCTCTGCCACCTGGTGCCAGCGCCAGCAGGCGATCGTCGCTTGCTCGATGCTCGCCCTCGTCGGGGTGGTGGTTCTGAGCGTGTGGTCCTATTTGTGGCTCCTCTGCACTCTTTTGCTCCACTTGTCCCATAGAACCGAAGCAGCTCAGGACCAACCATGCATCAGCGTGCCCAGCTTACTTCGTCACAGGTGACTCGCGCGACATGGCTCTTGAGGTCACTGAATGTCATTCTTGCAATGTGGCTGGGGCTGCAAACATGGAGGCGCGAATTGCGCGCGAATGGCGTGCGGCATGTCTTTGGGCCAGGCTGCACCAAGCACGTTTGCAGGCGTGGCTGTCACGACACGAAACACAATTGATCACTTTGCCTGGTTCAGGTTGCATTGGCTTCAATTCTTGCTGTGAACCGTCAGCAACACGGGTGCGCTCGAAATCGTTGGCTCAAGGAAACAAACAGCGCGGTGCTGCGCACATAGGTTATGAGCCCAAACCAAGTCGATGTGGAAGGGAAGCGTGGAAGAGGGAGCAGCGGTGATGGTCGTCGGGTTCCGTTGGAGGATGGCCACCAGAGGCATCCGGGAGCGCATCAAGGGCTTCAGCACCATGCCCTTTTCCATTCCAGCTCGGTCTCAAGAACCTTTTTTGGGCGGCATGTCCACCTCCGTAGATGGGGTGCCTTCCACAAGGAGCTTCGCCCTGGAGGGTGGTCATTGGAGATGCGGAACCGCACGATTAACCAGTTTTTGGATGTCTCCCCGACGCAGGAAAGCATTGTGCAGCTGGCGGAGTTCATTCAGGCGGAAGTGGAGGTGATGGTCGCCTTGAAGCCTGAGGAGAAGGGGCCGAAGGTGAAGAGTATGAGGCAAGCTTCTCGGAAAGAAGGAGACAAGAAGGTTTGTGGATTCTTTGCGGGGGCCGTTCAAGCAGGATTTCCACAAGGTGCTTCCATGGAATAGAAGAATGAGGAGGAAGGTGGAGGCGGAAGAATGTCGTCTTGCGTCTCTTGAGGGGCCAGAGCTTCTGGCAGGATGCGGTGGAGGTGCTTGCAGCGGGGCCAGAACATCCTCAACCCGGCGGTCAAGGCCTATCTGTTTCAGTTGCGCAGCACGGGCAAGATCTCTAGGATGGCGGGGGGCCCTCCATGTCGGACGGTGTGCTTGCAGATATCAAAGGCCGGGACCTGAGCCGCTTCGGAGAGGTTTGGACTTGATGGTCTTTTGACGGAGGAGCAGTTGAAGGTGCATCAGGCTTCGGCGTTGTGGCTGTTGCCGATGGTCGCCTGTGAGGCGAGAAGGGAGAAAGGTTGGATGGAGGCCTTTGTGCAGGAGAATGCTAGAGACGCAGAGGAGTGGCTGGAGACTGGAAAGGGCACAAGGCAGCCGGAAATTGGTTGGGCTACGTTTTGGGCCTGGCAGGCCTGCAAGTCAATCGGGAGACGCTGGAGGGGGTGCGGGTGAAAGCCGCAAGGGCCGACGAGGGAGGAACAGTGGAAGATGCGCGTGGAGAACGAGCGTGTTCCTCATCGGCGGGATTGTAGGGCACGCATGGAAGCAGCAGGCCGGGTGGGTGGACACGGGAGGATTCGGGCGCCGAATGCCTTTGTCATGTCGGTGGATATCCTGGGGCCGACCCGGGAAGGTGTAGACAAAGACGGAGCCAAGGCGAAGTACGCGGTCGTCACGGCCCTCACGGTGCCGGTGAAAAAGTCATCAGGGGAACCGCTGGTTATGCTGGGAGAAGAGGAGGGAGAAAGTGATGGAGCTGGGGGCGCGGGCTTAGGATAGAAAAATGTAGCCCTGTATTTTTCTACTTATTCTAATTCTTCTAATTAAATAGAATAATTAGGAGAATTCGAGAAGGGCAAGAAGGTGCACCTACCTCGGGGACCGGAAGAACTGCCGGCGGAGGAAGAGGGTTTTTGCGGAGCAGGAGGCAGGAGGAGAGGGGTCCAGGTCCGGGGGAGGATGGTCAAGTGGAGGTAGAGAAAGCAGAGGAGAAGACGAGAAAATGGAAGGAGAGGATCAAAGACCTAGAAGACGTGGCGGTTCACAACTTGACGTTCGCAGTTCCGATTAAGTCCCGGAATCGTGATGTGGTTCTCCAGGCGGTCGCGGAGTGCTACAGCAGGTGTCGGGCGGCTGGGTCGCAGGTTCTGCGGGTGCGCACGGACAGGGCCAGGGAGTTCAGCCAGCTTTCCGGGCGTGGGCAGCGGAGAGGGGTCTGTGGCGTACGGTGACAGCAGGCGATGAACCTCAAGCAAACGGCTGTTGCGAGCGGGGTGGTTAAAGGGAGAGCCAAAGTGTGGCTGGAGGCAAGCGGGGGCGCTGAGGGGGTCAAATGCGGGCCCTAGGAGTCCCACAGCTGCAGCCGGGCGATGGTCAAGAGGTGGAGAATTGGCCCCAGAACGGGATGGAGCGGTGGAAGCAGAGATGATTATCGGGGTGGTTGAAACAGATCTCTCCCGAGCGCCTAACGCAGGGGAACTGGTCCATTGGCACGGTAACTTGAAGAAAGTGTGGTGGGAAGAGAAGGAGTTGCTGAGTGGAGAAGAGGTTGAGCAGTGGCAGCTGGAGTGCACTAAGAAGATCGCCAAGGATGCTGGAAGGTTGGAGGAGACTCTGAGGGGCCTGGAAGGAGAAGAGAGGAGAGTAGTCAAGGCGGTTCAGAGGCTGGAAGAGGAGGAGTTCCTGCAGACCAAGACGAATTGGAATTGTGGATTTTGGAGGAGTATGTCGCTCACCGCCGAGACACAGGCGATAAAGACGCTGTCAGCGGCAGAAGCAGAGGAACTCATGAAGCGCGCGGAGGTAGAGGTGGCGACCGGCAAGGGCGTGTTTAGCAGGAAGGCAGGTCAGGAGAAGAAAGGTCCGGGCGGGGTGTTCGGGAAGTGGACAAGCCCCGGGGCTGGCGCAGGGAAAGACCATGGGTTGGCGGCTCAATGAAGTGGACTTCGAGATTCACCCGCTGGAGGGCAACCTGTGGGCAATCAAGGAGGTGGCACGGTGGGGAACATTGTGGTGTATGTGGACGACATGTTGGTGGCGGCCGAGGAGGGCGTCGTGAAGGGCTTCATGCAGAGGCTGCAGCAGGAGTGGAAGACATCTGCCCCGGACTCCGGTCACGTTCTGTGGCATGGAAATCTGCAAGAAGGATGGACATCTTCCGGGAACTCTTTTTGGCGGCGGTCTCACGAAGGCATTGGCCAAGACCCAGTTTGGGAAGTGCCGGAGAGGAATGGGCCTGGAAGTCCTGAGGAGAAGAAGGTGAAAAAGGTGTTGGGGAGCAAGCTCCGGCACGTTCGACGCTGCGGGATGGCTGGTGGTGGACAAGCTGAAGGCAGTGATCGGCATGCTCAGCCTGGCGGCCGGAACAATGGCAATGGCGGAGGAGGTCGGCAATTTCGGTGGAGTTGATCCTCACGGGTGGTGGCTTGGGAGATCACCAAGAAGGCTTGCGGGACAAGAGTGAAGAAAGTAAAAGGAAGAAAGTAAAAGGAAGAAAGGAAAAGACCGCAAGAAGAGGCGGACCGCGTGGAAGAGGCTCGGAGCCCATCGAAAGAGACGGCGGGAAGCGGCCCCGCGTTGGGAACTGAGTTTGAAGGGTCTGGGCAGGGTTTTTTGGGGAAGGACTACCAGCAGTCCAAGAGACCAGGGACCAGCAGAGGACGGGTATACCCTTGGCAGGCACCCCGGGCAAAGTCCCAGGGCAAAGTAGATCCAGGGCAAAGTCCCAGGAACAAGATTTGGCGGTAGTGTGTCGTGTGGGGATGGTGCCGGGGGCCAGCAGTGAGGGCGCCAAGGGCAGTCTTGGGCACGGAGCGCATGGAGTACTATTGCAAGATGGAGGAGAACAGTCCCTCAAGGCAAGAAATCGGGGAGTCCCTCTGTATGGAATTCAGGGAGCGCTACGGCATGAAGGTGGTTGGAATCCTAGGCCCGGCGGAGCTGGTTAAGGGGAAGGTGAACGAGAAGCTGGGCATGGGCAAGAAGAGAGCAAGATGGCCTACGGCATGATTGGACAGAGGCAGTGCTGCGGCAGTGAAGTCAATGTGTGGGCTGAAGGGGGAGTGCGAGCCGTTAACAACACGGGTGCACTCGAAATCGTTGGCTCAAGGAAACAAACAGCGCTGTGCTGCGCACATACTTGCAAAAGCTATACGGACGTCGAAAAGAACCGACGCCACCAAACCTGAGAAACAAAAACTACAAACGATACGCCCCAAATCCCCAAACAAGTCATTTTGACCCTGGCTCAAATCCGTGCAGGGCCAGCTGAGTTCTGACCCTCTCTTCGCAGCTGTGGCTGAAGCGGCGCCGCCGCAGGCAGGGGTTGGCTTCCATCGTTGTCCGCCTTGGTCGGCTTTCTCTCGATTGACGCGTGAAGGGAATTCCCAGGACGACTTGCAACAAGACAGTTGCTTCTTTTAGCTGCCAACTCATGTAAGCGTTCCGAGTTGGGCAAAAGTTTGACAAATGCCCCACGATATACATTTTACACTCAGGCCATCGCTGACGACGTTTGCCTTTGGCGTAAATAGCACCGCGTTGTCCGCAAGTTTTGAAGCCTGGAAGCAAGTCCCCATGCCTACCCGTCCTAACTCCTTGTTTGGGTCTCACACACCTGCGGCGAGCAGCCGTTCCTTGTCCAAGCTGTTTAGCATTGAGTCTTCGCCGGGAGAGCTTGCCCAAACACGAGCCAATATGCTGGCACCGTGAATGAAATCCATGTTCCGGTGCGGCCTTGGTGCGAAAGTCCTCTGCCGAGATTCTTTTCCAGACCTCGCCAAGTTGGCATTTTGAACACGCGCTCTCTCATCCTCTGTCAAAGGCCTTGGGAGCTTCCAAACATGATGCATACCAGCATGGACTTGTGATCCGGACCAGGCGAGTCCTGTTCAATGACGGTGGTCGAACTGATCGACCGACGACGGAGGGACAAACAGAATGTGACGAATTCTTTAACGTAGGCGGCAGAGTCCTGCCAAAAACATCCTGCGCAATTTGCTTGGACGTACACTATCCTTCAGCCTGAAAGAGCGCCCAGGCCGGGAAATGCTGACATCATGATTAACCTCCAATCCACGCCACCCCAGGAAAAGAAGGTGGTTAGACCGCGGCCGCAAACCTCGCTGTGTCCCAAAGCATGGGGTCCACGACGTTGCGGTAACTCGCCGCACCCGCACTGACTGACAGACTGGGATTCCCGGTCCTTGTCCTTACCCCAGGCGATCCGACCGAACGGCTTCTTGCGCTGAAAGAAAGGCAAGACCCAAAGTCTCTTTCCCCCAAAGCGAAATGTCGCGTGGTGACAGAAACCTGGAGCGCATTGCGGAATGGTCCCGGATTCTGCGCTTCCCCCACTCCCCTCAAGGTCATCGCAGCCAAAGTGATTTGCAAAATCAAGGTCAACTGGCTGCCTGCTTGACCTTGGCCAAACATTTCAATATTTCGCCTTTTCGTTCGCTTGGATTCAGTCGCCAACAAAGTGAGCTTTCCTGCGTTTGCGCAGCACTTCCAAGGGTGGCCTCAAAGCTTTTCCTAGTCTCAGCTTGCTCAACCTTGGCGCTTGCTGCCGTACTCTCCTTGAGTTTGCCGATCTGCTCCTGCAAATCTTCTAGTTTCTTGTCCTGTTGCTTCAGAACCGTTTCCTGCAAACTTGGCTGGGCGATTTGCGCACTTCCGTTGGTGTTTCCCGAAAAACCATTCCCTTTCCCCCCATAGCTCGACCAAACATTCCCACCAGAAGAGCTCCCCTTACCGTTTCTCGCCCACGGATCATTTCCCGGGATACTCCAACCGTCGAACCCAGCTCCCTGCTGATTCCTGGTTTTCTCAAGATCACCCGCAATCACTGCCCTGTCTGACCTGGCCTGGGGTCTGGAAACTTCAACCAACATGGGATGATTGTTGCACGAAAGCTGGTCCTCTGGCGCTGAGTCTGCAGCTCCAATGATGTACGCACCGAAGCTTCTGCTTTTCGAATCACTTTGATATTCCAGTTGAGGCCTTGCGCCCATTCCTCAACATCATTTGCGGTGACTCCGGCAGCAAATCCATGCAATCTGTACTTATTTGGAATTTGTGCAAGAGGTCTGGCAGTCTTATATTTGCTAAAATTCCTTGATTTTCACCCTCAAACGGCACGTTGCCCCCTTCTTGACAATGCCAACGTGGTCAATGCATTCCGAAATCATGCCCAACGCCTCTTCTCGTAACTTTCCTGCCCACTTCGGCGTAGCAACTGGTCCCTGCACAGTCCAGGCATTGATGTACACCTGCGGGTTGGTGACTCCACTTCGGCAAAGTGAAGGCAGTTCCTGCTTCTCATCAATGCGGGCAAGGAAAGTGACCGAGTCCAACGTGTGACCGTCTTGCAGTCTGCGATTTTCTCCTTCGATGCCGAGCGACCCCAAATGTCAAGCTTTAATTGAGCCGGTTCCTCAAAAGCATGCTTGAATACAACTCTCACGGGCTGTTGCAAATCCGGCCAGCATGGGTGATCTTGATTGAAAATAGCGTGACTTCCTTGTCTCGAAGTTTTCCCAGAATCGCTTTCTTTTTACCAAAGTGAGTGGCGTAGACTCGCACAAGTCCTGCCCAATTGCCTCCAAAGGACTTCGTTGCCCAATTGCACAAGGGCCTCTCCTGCCTCATGTACGCGCACATCCACAAAGCTCGAAACTTCTGCCTTTGGCCTTCAACAGCGTGCCTTGCTTGTAAGCACTTGGCTGACCTTTGATGCCACCCGTGAGCTGATGTGATGCGAAAAACCTTGTGTCTAGCAATGTGGACTTTGTTGGCAGGATGCACCCTGCGCGACCTCAACCACCGCACTTTGCACACCCATCATTCCCCACTTTGAGAGGCATTCACATTGCCCTCGTGTTCCAATTTTCCTCAACAAAGACCTGCGCAGAACCCGCATCAAGCAGCTGAGAATGATCACCGATTCTGGCTTCCAAATAAATTTGGCAATTGTCCAGAACTCTGCAAGCCGCAAAAGCTCGGAAGAAGTCTGGCCTCGTGATCACACACGTGTCATGTTGGGACACTTTCCAGCTTCTCTCGCTGGCCTTTTCAATCAAGTGCCCCGTGAAAAAGATCGTACCAACCTCGAAATCAAAGAGCTGACTCGCGACGACATAGCCGTCTCTCTCTGACACAGTCTGCGGTAAGACAGTTGCCTTAGTCCGTCCGCTTTTCTCGAAGAAGACGTTGCACGAGTCCTGATTGGCCTGAGTGTTGTGTTCACGACCTTCGTCCTGCAGCATGTCAACATCTTCACAACTCATCGCAACCAGGTCCAACATCAGAATTCTAGCATCATTCAGAATTGCATTCACCTGTTCTCCTATGAGGCAATCAGGCCTCAGGGATCCCAAACCAGGAACGATGACATATATGGCATGTACTGAGGACCTGCAAAGCTTCACACAGGCTGCCACGCTCGCACAAGCACTGAACCGACAAGTCGAGGAAAATCTAGTTTCGACGATGGACCACTTTGAGCGTGAGATGTTCGGCGTTGCGATGAGCGTACCTGCACTTTTGTGTGACCTGCTCAACTTGACCCAAGTCCCTCTTTCAGGAGTTTAGCCGTGTCCACATCAAACAAGGCATCCTCAAATTTTCCGAAAAGGTCCTCGAAGCCGTTGTTCATGTGACCCAAGCTCTTGGTCGCAACCCACAGCAGGCGCCGGGCAAATGCTGTTTCCAATGAATCTCGAATCTCTGACCTGGCTGCATTTGACTGGCAGGGAAACGTCCTGAGTCACTCCAAGGGCAATAGCCTGTTCATGACTAGTGACATACCTAAAACCATTGTCTTGCTCTCTGACCTTAAACGGGATCACGTGCTGATAAGTGTAACTGGCCATGATGATACCGGCAGACATCTGAGCGTTCTTTCTGCAATCTTGACTTTAGTCACTTCAACTGAGCCAGTCCTTTCACGGGTTGCCCATCCTGCGGGGAGAAGCCTGAATTCCTCCAGTTTTTCCAAAGCAGGTGCGTCAACCATCCAATCTCGAATGATTTCTTCTGGCAGATCCTGCTACCACGCACTGGCAAGCGCCAGAGATGGCTTGCTCAGGCATGGCCAACAAGGTATCCTATTCACAGTCAACTGAGTTGACTTTGGGACCAAAGCGCACAGCAAACGATTGCGGAGGCAGGTCGAACCTCGGACAGGCAACTGACCTTTGCGTCCAGCACTCTGAAGCCTATCCAGTCCACTCAAGGAATCCATCCCAAAATTTGTTTTCGCTTCGAAGCTTACGACGATTTCCGACAAGATCAGTTTGGCCAAAGCAAGAAACCACGCCATAGCCGCACCCTCTTGTGACGCCCATCCCTGTCCTCCCCAGCTTGCGAGAAGCTCTGACATGGAGCTGAGACGATATAATTCCAGCCTTTCCAGGTGCTGCAGGATGACCACAAATTTTTCATGAGGTCGGTCCGAATCGAATACTTCTGGGTGTCCTTGATGAAGATGGCTTCTGGTTCTGGAACTTCCTTGTTCTTGGACTCTCTCCCTTGGTTCTCTTGCTTGGCATAATTGTGAAACGCGCAGTACATTTCCAGGAGATTGGCCCTTCCATTTCCTTCTGAAGATTGGTTACTTCAGAATCGGTCATGAACGTTGACGCGAGTGCAGGCGCTCGTCATGTTGTACTCCTCGTCAACCTTGTCCAACTCGGATCAAATCTTAGTGAAGTCGTTGTTGGAGCATGGTTCGAAAATATCCTTTAAGAGAAAAACTTTAGAGCCTCCGGCTCAGTCCGCCGACATTGTCCTCTCCCTTTTCTCCTTCTTCCTCTCTCCCTTGTCTCCCTGGTGTGTTCTGTCGTCCTCTCTCCCTCCCTCCGCTCCCCATCCTCCCCATCCCCCCAAGCCACTATCTCCCCAATCTCCCTCTCTCGTATGTATGTATGCATGCATGCATATATGTATGTATGTAATGTATGTATGTATGTATGTAAGTATGTATGCATGTATGTATGTATGTATTTATGTATGTATGTATGTAAGGTAGGTAGGTAGGTATGTATGTATGTATGTAGGTATGTAATGTATGTATGTATGTATGTAGGTATGTATGTAATGTATGTATGTATGTATGCATGCATGCATGCATGTATGTATGTATGTATGTATGTATGTAATGTATGCAATGTATGTATGTACGTATGTATGCATGTATGTATGTATGTGTGCATGTATTCATGCAATGTATGTACGTATGTAATGTATGTATGTATGCATGCATGCATGCATGCATGCATGCATGTATTTATGTATGTAATGCATGTATGCATGTATGT